ATCTGGACTCTTCACACTTTTTTTTTAATTATTTACTTATCAAATGTGCATATGTAAAGCATACCAAAAAAAGAAAAAAAAAAAAAAAAAAAAAAAAAAAAAGAAAAAGAAAGAAAGGAAGAAAGCCCTTAAAAAAAGTGCTATTAGTTGCTTTGAGGTCCAGATCTCGGACTTTGCACTGTATATCTAATTTATTAAATTAGAATAGATTTAATTATGTTATGACCAAGTTAAATTTTTTATAAATATTGGAGCAACATTATAATTTATAAAAGAAAATCTATGCTATATATTACATATCTGATGAAAAAAAAATTTGTTTTGCATATATTTATAGTTTATTTGTGAATATATAAAATGCTAAATAGAATTTTTTCAAGTAATAGCATTTCCAGATTGCTGTACATGTTACCTGTCATAATTAAAGATTACACAAAAATATAAATGATCTGTAATTAATTCTTAAGTCTATCTGTAATATTCAAGTGTTTATTGCATAAAAGGTGTGTATAGTACATAGCCCCATATTTAATGTTTTTTTTTTTTTTAATTCCTAAATTAAAGAAGTATTCAGTGTTATTTTAGAAATCTGCAATGTGCCAGTCAAAATGTATGCTGATGCACTGTGCAGCTTTACATCCTTAAAATGTTCATGCATTAACAAAAGTGCAATCATATGGTCAAAAAGATGTGAAATTAACAGCATTTCCAGCTTACTGAACCTAAATGGGAAAGAAACATGTAAAGATCTTTTCCCGCATATAGTTGATATAAGGCAACATCATAATTTCTTTGTAATTCAACTCGGATAATATATATCTCGCAAAGAACAATTTTTGTTGCATGTGAATATTGAGAAAAGAATAATTATAGCTTGGCAAATTAATGAGCAGAATGTATTTAGATTTCTTCATTATTTGAAAAATTTATGGATATATGTAACAAGTACTTTTCTGGTAACAGGAATTTGGAGGTTCCGGATTTAATAAGTAAATAATCTGAAAATAATTTTTTATCAAAAAATTATCAGCAAAGGTGTAAAATATTTTTTTATTTTAATACGAAGTTAGTTTCTCCTGTGGTACTGGGCACAGCATTAAAAAAAAATTGTGGTTATTTCTACATACTTTTATTTTTAATTAACTGATTCCAAAAAGAATGAAAACTAGAGAAAAGAATTAAGAATCCTTGATTTCAAGATTGTAAAGTATCATTTCAGCTTTTATTCATAATGAACTTATGTATATCATTATAATTACACTGAATTAGTACATATTTAGTTTAAAGTATGATAATTTGACAGTTTTTTATATGTAAATCCAAAAATATATTTACAGATCACATTAGGGATAATATAACTAGGAAATTATCAAATTTCCTATTTATATTATTTTGTAGTAACATGCAAATTGCAGTTATTAATGTATGTATTTTTTTAAAAAAATTTCTAATATATTTTCAATACTTGCATAATATCACGCCTTAGTAGAAGTCTCCAAACTCTAGCAACCATGCGCATAACTGTTCTTTAGGTAACCGTATCCATTTATAACGAAATAAATGTCCAAAGGAGCAATTTATTTCGTTTTGGCATTTTGCATTGATTCACTATCAGCGAATCACTTTTTAAATTGTTGCTACCAAATATTAGAGCCCTGTATTATATTTGAAGAAATTAAGTAATGAAGAATAAGTATAAATGTATGTATGTTTCTCACATTGTGATAAAACAATGGTACCTAGAGCCATTAAATTTTGAATAACGTACATCTCTACCCGAATATGGGCATCTGGATGCCCAAATTTGGAATTTGTTTTATTGTTTATTTTTGTAAAGCATTGATGAGTTTTGATTAAGAAACTGAATGATTTCAAAGTGAGCAATGGCAGCACTGTATGGGAAAAAAAGTTTTTCTCCAGCACGCGAGACTGTATTGAAAATTCTAAAGATATGCTCTTTTAAATATTTTGTGATAATGCTGTTGAATTAAATTTTATGGTTAAGTGCAAACATGATATTTAATAAATAAAGGTAACACACAAAACATTAAATAAAGCCCCTTTGGGCATCTGAAATTTTTTTTTTTTTAAATATTATTTTTGCTTAGAAGGTAAACTACTGTACATTACAAACAGAGGTCAGAAACATGAGGGAAAGTTGTGGAGAATTGGCAAAACAAATGATCCTTCATTTATCTTTTCTGTTAGAAGTGTTTGCTCAGAGGTATAATAAATCATTTAAAAATACACCAGTGTTTCTCAATCATATTTTACAAAAAGTGTTATTTTATCAAATTGGTATAAATGAGGGGGGAATACATTTTCAACTGTGTTTTACAATGGCAGTTGCAAAATTCAAAACTGCACTTCTTATGTATACTCTCATCCTACCTCCACTTACATATTGCATATTGCATCAACATACATATTGCATATTGCATCTCATCCTACCTCCACTTACATGTTACATATTGCATCAACAATTAAATTTAATGATACAGGGAAATTTTTTAGTAACATGCAAATTGCAGTTATTAATGTATGTATTTTTTTAAAAAAATTTCTAGTAAATTTTCGATACTTGCATAATATCACACCTTAGTAGAAGTCTCCAAACTCTAGCAACCATGCATATAACTGTTCTTTAGGTAACCACATTCATTATAAGCTGCAGTCCGAAATTCATCAAATCACTTTCCCCCCCCTCTCCTGTAAAAAACTGCCAAATTGCACCAGGTGCTTGTGCTAATATGCAAGTACCTATTTTTCAATATTTTGATTCAGTTTTTGCTAATTTACATTAATGAAAGAAATGCAGAAACAAATACAAGAGATTTCATCAAATTATTTTTAGGCGAGTTTCAGTTTTATTTTACAACTACAATTTAGTTGTATCAATTGATAACAGTATTTTTATTCTAGAGAGTATTCTGTAATTTTTCCAAAAAGAAAATTCCTTTTAAAGAATTAGATTGTTGTCTCAAGTTTTAGATTGCAAACCTATTTTATTGTAATTAATTCTATCTCTTTAAACTGTGATCTGTCTATTTCAATCATGGAGGTAGGAATAGAAGGAAATGCCTTTTTCATCCATGACTGACACAGTACTTTTGAGGTTTGATAAGGGAGTATAACATTTAAGAAACTGTGGCACATTTGTTTATATTCAGATCACATTACTTTGACAGCTTCTTAGGAAATTAAAAATTGGGTATATTTTCTAATTATTAGGAATATCTGAAATGTATTACAATATTTTCAATGAAGAAATCTGAAGTGCATTAAACGTTTTACATAAAATACCACATTTTCATACTTATAGAATAGTATACACTTTTAGCAGGTAATTCATAGCAAATGAAAGATGCCACTGTATTTTGAGCATAAAAAGCTTATCTTTCAGTTAGAAATAATATTGATATGAAATTAATAGACTATTAATATTGTGCGCAAAAATAAAGAACAAGAAAATGGTTGCTTCAGAAATTAAGCAGGTCATCTACAAAGGCTTACAGAGGGAACTGTATTCACCATTTTTTATGAAAAGTGGTTTAAATGGTTAAAATTGAAAATTGGATGAGAATAGCATCAACAGCAAATTGCATCCATGAAGTTAGGAAAGGTAGTTTCGTTTGGTTATTTGGATATGCAAGCACACAAGAACTATCTGCCTAAGAGAAAGGATGCCTTTGTGGAGAACTTTCTAAGGATAACTTATTCATATTCATGTTACACATGGGGGAAACTATAAAAATCAACCATGCAGCGAACCCATTTGCTTGAATTTGAACAAAGGATGAGCTACCAATATTCGGCAGTCTTTAACCACTTGGCCATTGCTCGGATTTCAAGTCAAGAAGAATTTAAGAATGATGAATTAAAAGTATATTTTATTAATATTACATTAAAATAATGCATATAGTTTTTATTTAATGTATATAATGAAATAAAATTCATAGACAAATACAGTGAATGCACAGGAAATAAATGAATGAGATGCAATGAGACTTCAAATGAGATTTGTATATATCAGAAAAGGAAAAATTTATATTATCAATACATACCTGTTTAGAAATGTATTTTATTCTAATTAACTATAAATGTATATGAAAATGAGTGATACATACATTCATAAACTCCTATAATTATTATTCTATCAAGAAATCTAATTATAGAATATGCATCAGACAATGAGTTTAACATTTAATTGTGTAACAGATTACAAGTATTATTGGCAAATATATTTATGAATTATTCATGCAGAAATTATTGGAAAACAGTGTATTAAATGGTTATGAAAGGCATAGTATATGATATGCTATGCATACTTTTAAGACTTGAAAATAAAAATTTTAGACTGTGTATTGTTAAAATAATTAACAAAATTTTGATAAATATTAAAATAATTATTTCCTAATATTTCATAATTCATTTGCAAGTTTTAGAGAATGTTAATATATTTGTTTTCCCTATTCTCTTCCTTAACTCACATAAAAAGTCAATTATTCATAAATATTTCAGAGACCTTTTTGTAAACAGAAAAGAAATAATATGTGATTTTAATAATAATAATACAGTTAATTTTAATTTTTGTAATCGTCAATCAAATAAAAATTTCTTTCTAATGTAATTAATGAAAACTTATGCTAAATTAAAATTATTCTGAGCACAGGAAAATTAATAGCATTTAATTAATAATTAAGGGACTTTAGAATGAAATATTATTTTAAAACATGATCTTTCAAATAATTAGGACTTTGAAATGTTGTAGAAGAAGAAATTATATATTTTGTTTTCCTTCCTTTGTTTGTGGTTTTGGTATACTTTTCTGTTATTGAGAAAAAAGCTGATCGGTTTCAGATATTTTATCATATACATGATTTATTGTGTTTTTATTGATGCTATTGCATTTCTGAAATATTTTATTAAATGCATTATTTTTTCCTTGTTATTATTCAATATAATGAATTATATTAACATAAAATTTATTTCTTGAATAGCATTTGTTCCGAGAAAAAGAAAAAAGGCCATCTCCTCTTGTTTCTAATACATTTTCTGTCTTGTGTCTAGTGCCTTTGCTATTATTATTTATTTTGGTAAGCATTATTTTTCTTCATTTATTGATATGTTATTCAATTATTTATTTTTTTAACATGCAACACATGAATTTTTAAGTTCTTGAAAATCCTTTAATGAATAAAAGTATTAGATAAAGGTTTCCATATCACTAGCAACACAACTTTAGAAAAGTTGTAAATTTGGGAATAGTTTGTATGGTAATCATAATTTATCAGAAATCTTCAGAACAGCATTTTGCAACATTTCCTTTTGATTATGATCACATTAGTGATGTTTTGGAGTTGAGCACCATAGCTTTCCTGAAGAAGTGTTGCTGAAAGTACCATTGTAATCTGGAGTATTCTATAAATGTATTCTCAAGATAATTTTCTTTTTATGATTTGATCAGTGTGTTAATATATTCACATACATATAACTGTACAATTATCTTTTTATAGTGGATCAAGTTGGGAGCTAATTTATCAAATTTCCCACTCTCTGTGTACCCTATAGCCTTCCATCTAGGTCTTTTAGGTAATGCTACATATTTAAGAGAAAATTTATTTAAAAACAAATTATACTACTTTTTAATTAATTTTTCAGATTGTTACTGATTTTAATATATAAACTGTTATTTTGTCTTTAATCATTTTTTCCCCTTATTATATGTAAAATGTCTAAGAATTTCTGTAGCATCTTCAAGTTGCATATTAGATATCTACATTAAAATTATTCTTTTCAGATACAGTATTAATATTTCTTGTATTATTTTAAAGGGATTTTTTATAATTGAAAATATTTAACACATGATGAGTAATGTTAGTTTTTTTCTATTACCTTTGATGCTTTTTAGCTATTTTTGGCCTTTTCATCTGCTTTTGGCTACACATGAATATGTTTACTACGCTGAAATATCTGCTGGGATTAGGACTTTTTACATTCTTAAGTGGACACAGATTGCTAAGCAAATTAGCTGAAGGAAAATAATTTTATAAAAGGTAATTTTTTATAAAATTTAATAAATCTCTTTTAATTTAAATCATTTTTGTGATTTCAGAAAATCAAATTTGGGAATATATTTTTAGAATGAGCTTAAATCTGGAAGATTACAGTTACTATTTTCTGATCAAAAATTTTTAATTGGTAAAAGTAACAGTAATCCAAGAGCTCAACAGCATGGCATTTTGGATCTGGTCATGAAAAAAAATTCATAAATGTGTAAAAGTGATCATGCCACTCTAAGGGTTATGCACTTTATTTTTTAAAACTTAATTTTGAAGCTAAGAATTGCAATTAAAAAAAAAAGGTTAGTATGTATGAGATTGTGAAACTCTTCTTTTTTTCTTATAAAACTTCAAAAAATGGATTTGTCTTTACTTTATATCTCAGCCAACATTGTGAGAAGTGATAAATTTTTTGAAAATAAATTAATTTTGAAGTAAATTAAAATTCTGTGGCTGTTATTGCATAAAATATACATTTTTTGTTATTAATGTAATGTAAAATCTACAGGAATTAAAAATATTTGAATTATGTGTTACATTTCAAAAATATAATAAGAAACAATTACATTAATGGTTAATGAAATTGCCAATAGGAAAAGTACTGCATACTAGGTATAAAGATATAAAAATATACACAAAAGATAACATGATCTCGGAAGCAGAGCAATTAATAAAGAATTTGTGGGTTCCATTGTGATCTTCTTCAATAGGTCACTGCATCACTGCAAGGCCATAACATGGTCTGGCATATTAAGTCCAACAGATGCCTTATGTTGTGCTGCGACACTTGAATCCATGTTTTACTATGGCAAAAGGTCACATATCATCTGCTCCCAAATACAGTAGAGTCCCACAAACTGGACTTCTGATATCTCGACATTCCATATTACTCAACTTTTTAAAGATATCTTTGGGCTAGATACAGCAAATATTACATACAGTACATATAATTATTATTTACACATATGTCTTTTCAGTTCTGTTCAGATTTGAGTATTCATTTTCTATAATTTTTGCCGTTTTTGCATTGTGACATTAATTTTTGGAACTGCCTAACAAATTTCAAGATATGTTGTAACACTTGGCAATGCTGTTTGCTACTTTTGAAGATATGAAGAAAGTCAGGTAGCAGCTGGCCACAGGCTCACATTCCTTTCTATTATTGCAAAAAGTTAGGAGACTTCTGAAATGTCTGAAATTTTATGACTGCATCTTATTGCAAACTAAACTTACACCATTTCATTGCGGGCATAATTCCTCAGTTCACATCCACGCGTATAAGTGTTACATATTTTGAGGAACTTTTGATATTCTGTGAAGTAAAAATGTTCCAAAGGAAAAGAAAACAAACGAATGTGACAATGGAAATGAAACTAGATGCCTTAAAGAGACTGGATACAATATACTGAGACTGGATACAGTGAAAAGTGTAAACAAAATTACTAGGGATTTAGGTGTTGGATAGACTACTTTGATAGGGTGGAAAATGAAGAGGTCCGAAATTGAGTCTTGGTGTGTGAAAACAGCGTGTATGGATAGTTTAAAGGAAAGAAAAAGAATGTAAGGTGGTGAATATGAAAAAGTGAGTGAGGCACTTTTGTGGTTACGATTACAAAAAAGTGAGCAAATTTGTGGCTCAGGCAGCAAAGGGAACACCCATTTTAGGACCAATTTTACAAGAGAAAGCCCTAAAATTTTATGATGAATTTCAAGGACAGCCTGGATTTATTATTAGTGCTGGCTGGCTCGACAGATAGAAAGAGCAGTATGGCATCAGGCAGTTAAAACGTTTGCAGGGAAAAGCTATCTGCTAACTTGGAAAATGCTGCAATATTCAAGGATATTTTCCAAAAACTGATTTAAAAGAAAGGTACATCTGGAGATCAAATTTATATTTGGGATGAATACTGATTTGAATTTTCTAATGTTACCTTTGAAAAGACTGGCATCCAGGGAAGAAAAATCTGCACCTGGCTACAAAAGAAGCAAGGAGAGAGTCACAAATCTTGGCATGCTACAATACAACAGGCAGCCATACGCTTAAATTAACGTTTGTAGGCAAATCAAAATATCCCTGGGCATTTAAAACTTAAAAAAATCCAAATGGTACCAAAATAAAATATGATCTTCCTGCTTGGTACTGAAATCCGTTAAGTGCATGGAGGAATGGAGCAATATTTAATGATTGATTTCATCAGCAGTTTGTTCCATCAGTGGAAAAGTTTTTTAAATCAAAAAATCTATTAAGGAAGGCGATTCTCATTCTAGACAATGCCTCATCCCATCCTGATGCAAAACAGTTACAAGACAAAGATATAAGAGCCACATTTCTCCCTGCTAATGCAACTTCAGTGTGTCGGCTGATAGAGCAGGGCATTTTGGAGGCATTGAAGGAAAAATGCAAACTCTTTCATCTCTTGTCTTAGCCATGAAGAAAGGGTGTGATATGATCGAAACTCTGAAGAAAATAGATATGTTGGATGGATAGCTCATTCTTGGAGTAAAATTGAGCAGATAAGCCTTGTTCGTTCCTAGGTTCAGGAAACAAATTTCACGAAAGCAGAGAAGAGACAGAAAATTGTGAAGTAATTGACTTCAGAAAATTCCAGGCTGCGAAGAAGTTAGTGATGGTGATGTTGAAGAATGGATGAGACAAGATGAAAATTGCAAAATTTTTGGACATGCAGAAATAGTTGCACTGGTGAAGGACGATGTAGACAAAAATGAAGATGAATCAGCAATGGAGAAGTAAAATGAAGGCTGCTGAAGTGAAGGACTGAAGGCTGCTGAAGGAATGCTTCGTTACATGAAGGAGCAAAGGTATGGAATATTTTGTTCCTCTGTTGCCTGCGGGATGAAGCTGCATGACGATGGAATGAGTGGGAAAGACAATCTACCAAGAACTACTAATAATTTCTCTTCATTTTTGTATGTAAGTTTTTTACTCAATTATCTTAAGGTATTTGTTCTTAGACTAGAAGAGAAACACGCTAATGTGACAATCAAAATCGTAAAAACAACCTTGTATTTAGCATAGGTATAACAACCTTGTATTTAGCATAGGTATCCTACGCTAAATACAAGGTTGTTTTTACGATTTTGATTGTATTTGTTCTTTTTGTAACTCCTATTGTGCTAGAGCTTGACATAAAAAAAATCAACATTAATTTAATTGTAATCTCTACTTTTCAGTGTCCAATATTATGGTACAAATGCCTAGAGTAATTTACAATTAAATATTAAGAGTTCTGAAAAACCCACCCCTTATTCCGTAAAACTTGACACTCTCTCAGTCCACATTATCTCTAGTTTGTGGAACTGTACTGTATACCGGTTTAGAGAAGAGTCACTACATGATGCAGGCAATCAATCAAATTGCCTTTCAGAATGTTGAAATTATTCAAGTCTTTTTCTGAAATGTAAAACTCCCCAGGTGCGAGTTCAAACAAAAAATTAATCTGTTCAGGCATAGCACAAGCAGCGACCTTTTTTAACATATATGTAAACAATATGCCAGAAGCAATAAACTGCAATTTAGTCAAGTATGCTGATGGCATGGTCCTAATGATGAAATCAATTGGGCCACAACATCAGATTCTAATATGTAAAGATCATTGAGATTGCAGATTCACTTCTTGGGTGCATCTTGTAATGGTTTTCAGTTGTCCAAATTATAGATCAGGTTGCAGTTAGATGTAAACATCCAACAGCAACCTGATCTATAATTTGGTTAGTGATTCTTTAACCTTTTCAACCAGTAGTAGTCTGCTTGGCCCTTTCTGAACTGAGTTCCATCATGTATCCACTGTTGCAACCATTGTTTAATGTTATTGTCTGAATGATTCATGTGGCAAGCTATATGTCATGCTGATCATTCTGTGATTTTTTTTTCTCTTGATAGGCCTTTCTGATAGGTTTCTTGATAGGCCTGATAGGCCTTTCTGACTATCATGTGTTTTAATCTAAACAGTTTTAGTGTTTTGAGTTTGATGAATTCTGTATATGACAATATTTCATAATTAAAAATGTTAATTTTTTTCAAAGGTACATTCCAATATAGTTGCTGACTTTATGAGAAAGCAGAAACCACTGTTTCATCGCATTTCTTCATTACTGGATTGTTGGAAGAGAGATGACAGCAACTATGAACTGAAGGAGGAACAATTAATTGCATTTTGATACATGAAATGTAAATTATTCTTACCACTTAGATCAAAATAAATTTTTTTAAATAATTGTCGTATTTTTCATTGTGATATATGAATGAACTGTTCTTAAAATAATTTTAAAAGATTAACATAGTCACTCTTCCTAATTTAATAATATATTTTCACAATTTTTTTTTTTTTTTTTTTTTTTTTTTTTTTTTAAATTTCGATTAACACAATCAATATTCTAGGTGAAGGAGCAGCCTGAAAATGCTTTTTTGATATAGAAATCATTTCATACAATGGAACATACTAGCAAACTGCTTCGTTTTATAAATATCTAGCTTAGAAAGTACAGGGTATTTCATATTGAATGAGACAAAAGAGTACAAATTCTATAACTGATTTATTAAGCCCAAACAAATTAATTCTGAAACTACAATTATACAAATTTTAACTGACAACAACAAAAAATATTCCAGTTACAAAATCGCCACTAGAGGCACTGTTAATCAAAACGGCAGCATCCATTTCATGAAAATATACTCTGTTTTGTAATATTATCATTTCTGCACAAAACTACGTCATAATCTCAGTATTGAACGGCGAGTAAAGCAGTTTTAGGACACGTTGGGTTGCTTGTATAAGAAAACCAGCCCAAACTTAAGTGGTTGAAAAAAATTTGTGAAACGTTTTTACAGAGTTCCACAAAATTAACATGTCATGCAAGTTCTGAACTCAATGTGCCTCATGTAACAGTGTGGCATGTGTTGCAAAAATGTCTACTATTAACCTTTCAGATGGGGCAGGCCTTAAAACCTTCCGACAAACTGTTGCATAAAGCTCTCTATGAGAATTTGCAACAACAGATTTGTGTTTATGAATAAAGCCATTTTTCATGTTTCTGGCAAAGTTAATCGCCATGATTTACGATTTTGGGGGCACAGAATATCGACATGGTATTATGGAACTTCAGCGTAATTCTCCAAATGTGAACATTTTCAGTGATTACAGCAAAGCCTTGAGAGTTATCTGTCTTCGTGGAGGACTTTCTAAGAGAAACTGGCTTGTTACGCAAGGTGAAAATGCCCATGCAGCCAGCCCGTTTGTGGGATTTGAACCTTCGACCAAACTACCTGTGTTCAGTGACTTTAAGGGCCATTCCCACTGGGGCTTATCTGAGTTAACGGGGTCAGTTCCCTGTGTCGACTAGCTCCACTATGCCTGCTGTTCAGATTTTTCAACTTGCTGCCCAATGGGGAAAAACTGGTTTTGGAGCTGGGTCGGCTACGTTAGTTTCCTCGTTAGCTCAGATAAACCCCAGTGGGAACGGCCCTTTACCACTGGTGGGTCTGCTTTGATCTTTAGAAAAGCTACAAAAAATATTGAAATCTTTTGTTTAAATACTATACATGATGTTTCAGAAATAATGATCTATCAAGATTCAGTGTAGTTAAATGAGTGGTTTTCTGCCAAACCAGGTATTTTCATTGCATACCACTCAGTTAACTGGACTGGGAATTGGCTGTTGAAGACTGAAATGATATGACAGTTAAATGTTTCTTACACTGTCATCACATAACCTACAGGCTTTGCACACAAATGAAAGATGTCATCAACAGGTTACGGAACTTTCTTTAATGACTTTACAATATCAAAAAGAGCAATTCATTAGTTATAACTCATTCTGGTAATCACTTTCTGACTATTTAATTGAAGAATGAAACTGAAAATGCATCTCAACTTATTGCCAAATATTTTATTACAACTACAAGGTGGACTTTTTCACTGCTTAAAAATGAATCTAAATTTTTGTATATGTAATGAAATTGTCAGTGTTGTGGAAGAAACATGACCAATCCAGCATTCTTGAAAGGGCCATTTACATGGCTTAATTGAGAATCTGTTTGGGTGCCTGCACAGAGATTTGTTAATGGATTACTGAATGTTCAGATATATAAGCCCTTGATCAGCTCGTCAGACAACTTGCTTCTCCACAGGTGATTAAATAAACAATAATGATGGCTATATAGATAATCTGTGTCAATTAATACCTAAAAAATTATTAGATTCAGAAAGTGTACCACTTATTTATCTGTTATCATAACTCAGAATGACAATATTTATGGGATAGCTAGTTTCACTATCTGTCCCTCCAAAAATTATTATATGAACTCTAATAGGAGATAAGGCATTCATAGACTTTGCTTCCAGCTGATAACTTGATTAACAGCATAGAAAAGATGTGTTCAAGGTGCCCATATTCTGTACTTTTCCATTACAACTATATCACTTCAACACTAATTTTTTGTTTTGATATATTTCCTCAGTGCCATGCATCGCAAGTTTGATTTGGTTCTTGGTATTCGGTAATTCTTTGGCATCCTTGATGATAATTGTTATCTGTTCAATAGTTTTCTTCCCTCCTTCCAGTGGACTGTACAATTTAGTACTTGCCAAGAAATGAAAAAGAGAGATTTGTGTTCAAATAACTGTCTGGTAAAATTAAACCTTTACTCGGGGCTGAAATGGCTATGCAGTCTCTGCTCCTGCCAGGAAGAAAAGTGTGGTTTATTGGAATCAAGTTTTACAAACCAACGTTTGGTTCAAATAAATTGTAACCAGGAGTCTAGCTATTGGTAGGCAGGATTAAGTAATGTCTAAGAGCCCATTACGATTTGATTTTTGAATATTTGAAGAGTAATAATAAATGAATAAAAAGTTACTGACTCAATCTTTGATATTTTATGTGTACAGATTTAATTTAAATTTATGTTATTAATTATGAAAGAGTTTACCTTCTTTTTTAGTAATATAAAAATTAGAAATCAAATTGAATACAGTCAGTAGATTCCAAAAGATGCTAAATCCATCTTTGATATATTTATATGTACAGATTTAATTTGAATTATGCTATTAATTATAAAAGAGTTATATCTTCTTTTCAAATAAAATAAAAATTAGAAATAACTGTAATATCAGAGTAGCCTATCTTTGTTTGTTGTTAATTCCATTGTTTGTGTAATAAATTCTTTCGTTTACACGTATAAGCTCATAAGCAATATAATAGCATTGTCATCAAATATGGAATGTGCAAGCTTTTTGTAATAATTATTTTGTATTTTTCTTAGTAATGTTGAACAACCTCAACAAAAAAAAAAAAAAAAACTGTAAATCTAATAATAATCATACAGATACTTCCATATATATCAGTAGATATAGGCAATTAATTATGTATGCAAAAATATTACAGATAATATCAGAAGGTTTCTAATTAACTGTGGTAATGTGAAGGAAAAAACTATGGGCTCATTTCCAAAAGATACTAAACAAGGAAATAGACATTTTATTGTAGATACAGTCAAAAGTCGTTAATTCGGACACCCGTAATCCGGAATGATCTATAATCCGGACCTCAAAGCTAAAATCTTTCTGCGCATGCACCGCATTGACGCATGCGCATAGGCGTTTTACTCGTGCGCGCAAGACATTTACGACTGGCATATGCATCTGCGCAAGTGCAGAATACGTTTTCGCGTGTGCGTTTAATGTATACGGACGGTAAAAGCTAAAATTATCTAATTATCTATTTCAGTTATTGTTGATAATTGCGTTGTTCCTTAATCTTCAAATTGAATCCGGCTTATTATTTTTTGCAGACTGTAAGAGCAATTTTCTAAAAGTAAGCTTGAACTTTCGATTATGTCAAATAGAATTTCCGATGCTGGAGCTCCCAAAGGATCTAGAAAACGAAAGTATGTTTCGATGTCCATCAAACAAAAAACGAATTGCCACAAAAAATGGATAAAAGCATATCCTTTGTTTATCTAACCGTTCCGAAATCTGTTTATCAATTTCACGCTGCTCTGCGCAGGGGGGGGGGGCACGTCGCGGCGCGCAATGAACTGGAAATTGATCTGTCAACACTATCGTTATCTTCAGGGCAGATGTTTTTATTTTAGTCGGCTTATAATTCCTTACTAAATGTAGTATTTAATTTCGATGTACTCCGTCTTTGATATGATTTAAATCAAATTCCTCGTCATTATAAATATCACGAATACAAATCACATAGTTTTCTGGTTGCAATTTTCTAATTTCGGCTATGAGTAAGGTATGCTTTACGCATCCGCGCGTTAAAAGAAATGTTTAATAAAGTAAACAAATATTAGGCTTCTTTTTTGGTAAATTTGGATACCCTTTAGATCATAATTGCTCATTATTTTATAAATTACGGTTTCATATTTTTAATTTTATAATTTCTGCATGCCATCTTACCAGATTTAAACTGATGATCTATAATCCGGAATCGCCGAAGTCCCGACGAGTCCGGATTAAAGACTTTTGACTGTATTATACATCCATGACAAAGTACGAACAAGTGCCAACATTGGTTGTGTTATTCTATATCTTTCGATGCTAAATACTGCAAACCTTGTTGATTGTATTTTATTTCTGAAAGTAGTTAGCATTCAGGTATTAGACATTTAGAAATTAAACAGTAGGAATTAAAACCCACAGTTCTTCCAAATCACATGTGGAAGTTAGTGCTGTGTATGAAGCATGGGAAAAAAAAATTGGCTGTTGATAAAGACCTCAAAGAAGAAATTGACATGAGGCAAATTTATGGAAAATGGTTTTAGAATAGTTATTTGACATTACACTCATGCTGTCAAACAATATGTTACCTTTTCATGGATATAGTGAAGCTATAAATACTAGTTATAATGGCAATTTTTTATCACAGGTTAAATTATTAAGTAAGGTAAATTACAAGTTTTTGAAATGCCAGTAGGAAGTGCATGATATTTGAACCTAACTATACAAAATGAATTAATATGTTGGTCATAATTTTGAACAAATTTTGGTGACCCAGATATATGCATCTCCCTTTTATTCTTTTATTATTAGACACTGCTCAAGATATACCAAAGATGGATCAAATAAGTTTGTTTGTTTTAAGAGATGTTTATGTAACAAGAGATAATTCAAAACCCATAACTTTTCTAATTATTAAAGAGTGAAAAGTAGTATTTAGATTAAAGAGTATTTCTGAAAGTTTTAATTGAAAAATCTTAGAAACAATA